ATATATTTTTATTTATTTGTGTACTACACACTAGATTATACTTTTGTACTAGAAACCAAACTATACCTGTGTACGAGACACGAGACTATACCCGGGTACGAGACAGGAGACTACGAGACTATACCAGGGTACGAGACACGAGATTATGCCCGGCTACGAGACACGAGACTATACCCGGGTACGAGACACGAAACTACGAGGCTATACCCGGGTACGAGACACCAGACTACGAGACTGTACCCGAGTACGAGACACGAGACTATACCCGGGTACTAGACACTAGACTATACCCGGGTACGAGACACGAAACTACGAGACTATACCCGGGTACGAGACACGAGACTACGAGACTGTACCCGAGTACGAGACACGAGACTACGAGACTATACGCGGGTTGCCAGTAGCTGTAAACACAATTTTGACAATCGACAACAACACCATTTTTCATCGCAACAACAGCATTCGCGTTTCAGCATATGAGTTCAAGTGCAGCCATGCCTGTCAGGCGCTCAATTCTACCGCACGAACGTCTGGAACGAAAAGTATTGCTAAATCGAAAACGTGGTGAACGGCAAAAACGATGGTGATGGAGCAAGAGTAAAATTAACATCAGCAGTTTGCTTCATCGTTCTCAGATGTAGATGGCAATGATAATGATGATGGACTACAGGTACCTATTGCAAGAGTCGTCCGGATGGATGACACAATCGACGTGAGTAGCTGTGATCACAATTTTCGGTAGCTGTTAACTTTTGGGGTGAAATTGTGATCGATCAAATTTCATTTAATTTGGTCTTCACAGCTAGTGAAATAGACTAGTAACAGACAGTGCATTATTAATCTGATGTTGTTAGACACAAGTTTTAAAAAGTATTACCATATCTCTCAATATGATCAGAAAAAAAGCTATTAAATAGAAGTTTCTCTCGCGCGCTACTATTTTAATTTAACTTCCTTCTATTTATACATCTTCTAAGTTATAGTCCAACAGTTCAACAGAAAGTTTTCACATTTGTGCTTCGTAGAAGGAACGCTGACAAGTTTTTTATAAGAACTACAAAATTTCTTCAAAATCTTAGAGATCATTTCACAATGCTGAGTTTTTACAGAAAAAAAACGTCATTTCTGATATAACAGGGAAAAATTGCTCAGTTGTATATATTCATATTTTCTCGAGTTGTTAAGCATCTCTTTTGTAAATAGCTACAAGTAAACTTCTCTTTTTGATGAAGTCAAGTATGTCACACCTGACTAAACTTTAAAGAATTTAATTTTCTACGACATAAACACAGTTTTCACCAAAACTACTGAATACACTATTTTTTTATTCGATATTCTCAAAAATTCTATTGGTAAAGGAAAGACGTTCAATGCACCTGGTTTAATCAAAATATATCAAACGTATTTAATCCAAAAAGTTCATTAGAAACTGTTTAAATTTATACTAACTAAACGGATCGATTCAGCATAGTACAACCGTCAGTAATCAATCAATGCGGTTATTTTATGTCTACGACAAAAATAAACTCTATTTGCAGTGATCAATATGATTGTTTTGTTTTCTATGTACACAAATCTAAAAGTATAATTAAAGAAACTTCCAGGAATTCGTTCACTCGTATCAATTATCAAGTATTTTGTTATATTAATGTTATAATATAAATATAATAGACACTATAATATAATTGTACATCATTCTATCTGTCAACATTGTGAGTAATTTTTTTTGCGGTTTTACTATAATTAGAAACTGTCCATATTTAAGCATCATATTTTATTTGGTTTAAAAAGTGAGGTTCTGTTTTGATTTTTTATCACTATAAACAAGAAAAATAGGAACAAAATCGATATTTTGGCGTCTAGCCAATTACCTGTAATGGAAAAAACGTGAATATAAAAAACAACCAAATAGTTTCGAGGTTAACTGTAAGTTTCTACTTATTCGAAATATAAACGAATAATTAATAGTACAAATTTCGTAGATCATTGCCATATACAGTCATACTTCGTTTAATTAAACTGTGGTCGTGTTGTGTCTTATAGGGACTGGTTAGGATAAAACAAAACTATAATCACTTTTGGATGTAATTGAAAAAATCGTTTTGTTTTGTTTGTATTAATGACAAAATTCATAATCTGGTTTTTAGAATGTATGCGTATGCAGGTGCACAAGTTTACTCAGGGATCCATATTCCAAGTTATGGAATGAGTGATTTTACATCCTATGGAATGTTTCCATCTATTTATGGAGCAGGTGGATTTCCATCGTACGGCTTTGGAAGTCAAGGATTCATACCATATTGCGGCGTCCCATTAGACTTCGGTAATTTGTATCAACCTCGACATTTTCGACAATTCACTTATTTACCTGAACCAGCCCCGCAGATGCAAGTGACTAGAAACCGAATGCCTGATCCACCACCCGATGTCATTGAACGTATTGTAGTCGTGCCTCAACCAAAATCTTACGTCTATCAAATTATTGAGGTTCCTACGAAACCACCACCAGTTATTCAAGATCATTACGTTCAAGGTCCAGCTAATCCTGTTTTATACGGTGGTACGATACCTGTACAAGTTCCTAGTCAAACAAATTTAGCTTATGGAAGTATGAATGGCGGTCAGTACGTGCAAAGCGTAAGTCCCGGGACTAGTTATTCTTCTCCATCTCCGGTCATTTATGGTGACGGAATGAATTATGCGGGAAGTGGAATTATGTATGCAAATAGCGGTATGCAACTAAATATGGATAACAATATCCCTTTTGCGGGTTATCAGGGTGGACTGATACCGATGATGAGCGCTATGTAAACGAATCGTCTATGTGTACTTTCTTTTAAAAATAATTATCTGTGATAAGAATTTTACGCTCACAACAAACTCTTAGACCATTCAATAACCTTCATATAAAAAATCGCCTATAGAGTGCACTATTGTGATATAAAGGCTTTGGATCAGATTAAAAAAATCGGATCTCTTGCAATATTTTTAGCCTTTAAAATTACAATGTAATTAACTTTAAACTTGATTTTATAATTAGTAGTCTACTGAACAAAATCATGAGAACACAAAAAACCGCTCATAATCTGAGACTCATGACGATCAAATTTTATCGATTATCTGTATTTTTTTCGTTTTTCATTGTACAGATATTGTTTATTGCGATAAAAGTTATTTGTTACACTTAGGAGGAAATAAAAAGAAAATCGGAAATCTCACATTGATTGAATTCTGACTGATTGTGTGTAGAATCAATAAAATATTTGAAGAAGAAAATTATCTCAAAAGGCTCTAACCGATTTGTTGAAAAGTAACAGAGTTTTCAATCGATTTATTGAACTCAAATCTGATAAGTCAAACCTAACAGGCTAATTACAAAGAACACCCGCCAAATATAGCTGCTCGAAACATCGTGTACGTTTGAAGGCGATAATAATGTGATACTTCAACAAACATCGAATTACATTATTTCAATATATGATGACTATGAAAAAAGTAAAAATTCTTTATTTAAGTGAACTATATCTATTCGTATTAATCAATTTTAGACATTCCGATAACTAGTCCATTTCATAGTGTTGAATTTATCCATCAAATTTCAAATATTTTACATAGGAAATGCACTATTCTGAATGAGAAGTGTTCTGTCAAAGGTAATTTTGTTTAGCATAATAATATCTCTTAGTTTAGGCTATGTTTGTGTTTTTATACGTTGACTATATTAACCACTAAGAATTTGAATAATATATGCGATTAATAATACTGAAATCCATTAACATCCTCATGTTCTTTTCATTCAGATTTATTGGATGCTGTTGACTGGTTACTATGTTATCTGTTGAAAGAAAGTGTTCAGAAATTAAAATCTTTGGAATCATCATCGATGTCTACTTCAAAAATCGAAAATGCGGCGTTTGATATTAAAAATTCGGCACAAGTCTACTATCTACGTTCGTTAGCAATCGTTTACATTCAGGTATATAACATTCAGCTTAACTCATCAATATTTGTATATCTATAGTTTTTATTATTTACTTAGCGTACAGCAGTTCGACGATTTGAAAGTCTTTTAGAAATAAGTAATGATATAGACGATGCATGTCGGAATGTTTTGGAAAAATTACTTACATTGCACACATTAAAGTTATTAGAAGAATATTCATCAACATTATTCGCTGGTAAACTAAATATAAGATCTCTTGATTGCTATTTATGTTGTTTTTCTTCTTCTTTGTTTAAAGGCGGTTATTTTGTCGATCGATCAGTGGTGACTGTCATTCAGAATGTAATACTAGATTTATGTTCATCATTGAAAAATGAAGCTGTCGCCTTAGTTGATGTATTTGCTCCACCCGATCACATTTTAAATTCAGTACTTGGAAATACGAATGGAGATGTAAGACTAATTAAACTGTGTCACTGTTGTACTAAAAGCTTTTTTTTGTTCATTTTTACAGGTTTATCACGCAATATATGATATGATTCGCAGTAATCCCAATACGTATGTGATACCACATTGGCTAAAAAGTGATCTGGTTCATCGAAGTAAACTGTAATCCTTGAGTATTCTACTTTTCTACTTGTTGGCTGGTCTAAATGAAACTCTGATTTTTTTTAACACATTTCATTAATTGCAAAAAAATTTTGCTTCATCTTGGAATAAAATGACAAAGGTGATATTTTCAATCAGTTTTATCCTTGTTTTCTCTTATTTAATAAAAAATAAAATATACTTTGTCAAGAATCAATTGATATTTGAACATGACAGTTTGTTTGGAAAAAATATTGCTTTTTACCTGTGCATTAAATATTGCTGTTCTCATTTGTAGTTTGTCGTTGTTTGAGCGTAAATCGTCTAGAATTATCACAAATGCTTTGTGTTTCACGTTAGAACCTGTCTAAACTTCTAAAACTTCTTCTAGAAAACTTCAGAGAGAAATTTTTACAATTTTTCATTACTGTCCTAAACAACGGCATCCTTCTTCTATCGCAAGCTTTTTCCATACCTTCCAATCTTTTAACAAGAACTTACATATAGAAAGATAGAGAATTTTCTGTGCTTCAAAATGAGCTAGCTATAAACAAGCGATTTCAAGCATATTTCAAAAATATGTCCATATAGAACGGTTCTCGAAATACTGTCTAGATAGTACATTATTTTCAGCTATCGTATAAGACTGTAAAAGAAGCTTATTTTGAGTTGATTCCGGAAGCTGTGTAAACACATACAGACCGTTCTATTACCAATCTTGCAATTATAACAACTCCTTTCGATGCAAAACTGTGGAAATTGTATGTAAGACCAGTACGAATTAGCGTTTGTATGCCTTGAACGAAGTTTAATTCTAATTAAATCGGGTGCTGCATAGGTTTGAATTATATAGTTTACGTGATTTGTTAGATCTGTTG